CAAGCCTCGAGACTTCGGCATCCAGGCGCCGGCCCTGGCCCCGGCCGCCCCGGCAGCCCCGGCCGCCCCGGCTGCCCTGGCCGCCCTGGCCCCGAAGTCATCCAATCCTAAAGGTCCTGACCTACTCGTTCCATGGGCCGAACTCAACTGGATTGTTCCACTTGCTGCGGCAGGCTTCTCGGGCAGGGATGTGCTACGGTCTTTTGGGGCTTTAAGGGTTGGGAAGAGCATTGGGCTGAGGGCTCAGCCGAACCTCATCAGAATCCAAAGCCCTTTCTTGTGGGAGTTGTGAGATGCGTGCTTGAAAGTGCCGTACCGGCCTCGGATTCCTCATGCATCACAACATGCTGTAACGTGCTTGTTGGGTTCAAGAGGGAGGACCAAAGGTGCTACTCTCGCTGAGCACTCCATGTTAACTACTCACTACTCCGTTCCGTGCAAATCAAAAAGTCCGCCTCAAGCATCAACGAAAAGAAACAAGTGAGCAAGTTGAGACCACGGCGTGGGGCCGCAAGCTACTAAATCACACCCTCGTCATCCTGGGCGGTGGTCTTTTTGCTAAGTGATGGCGCAGCAAGGTTGCGTTGCACTCCAAACGCCCTGCATGTTTGTTGAATTTGGATCTGTGGCCATTTCACGAACTGCACCCCCAGCTGGTTCGGGAGCCCCGACATAAAGACTTTTCAGTGAATTTCTCCAAGGCTGATAGGTAAGCCTTAGACTGGAGAGGGCATAGAAGGCTCCCTGCTACCCAACCGTTGTGCCCTGTCCGTACAAGTCTTTGAGAGGTTTCGGGGTTAGGACGGTTAGGAGTGCCCTTCCACTTAAGGCCAGTTTCCCTATAGTCACCGGTTGCCGTCACAGGCATGTGCCGGTGAACGGAATGCAGCAAAAAAGGAACTCGCCCCAGCTTCGCTGCAAGATCTTGCCAAAGATGGGGTGACAGAGGGCTTTAGAATCCGAAGTTTCGTGCCAACGCGTGGGCTCTGCTCAGCACGGTTCTGCGCACGCGGCGCATGCACACATGGTGTCCATGCACCGGACAGTCCGGCCGCAGGATTGCTTGTTCAGTTGTGGCTGCCATGGAGATGTCGGAGACATGGGAGTCTCCAGCGACCCCTTCGAAAGACTGCGGCAATCAACCCATACCGGCCCCGCACCACGCCCTACACACTGCGCCGCCGCGTCCCAGCACATGTGGCCCCTCGTGTGGGATGCCATGGGCGGGGCGGGCGCTTTAGTGCTTCAGGGGGATTAGCGAGTTATCGTTCTGTTCGTGAAGGCTCTTGCAAGTCTCGGGCCTTTCCGTTGCAACCGCTTATCAGGAAACTGCTTCCGCGAATGTTCGCCAACTTGCAGAAGCGGCTCGTGCGGTGCTAGCTGCCAAGCCCCCATCGCCGATGAACCGACCCTCATACCACAAGCCCAAACAACCCAAACGACCTTCAGCACTGCAACTACATGCAAGGCGCCACACCAACCACACCAAAACTAGGGCGCTTTCCACCACGTTGAATGGAGCTTTTCTTGATCGCTTTCCCAGCTGAGAGCCCGCAGGCGTACGCCTCACTCGGGCCTTTGTTGGGAGCCCAGACGGTTCGACCCGGGCCTGTCGAGCATTTACCCTCAGGCCTAGCATGGCCTAGCATGACCTAGTGCCAAGCGAGTGTCAGCTGGTCACGATGGGGGTGGAGGTGGAGGGTTTTAGAGACGGGCCTCGTTTTGTGTCAAAGACAAGAAGATGAACCGTTGCGACACGTGGCATGACTTAGTGCGAAGAGAAAGTGGCGCCTTGCGGGGTTGCTCGATCAAGTTGCCAGCCAACTGCCCCCTTCCCCTTGCAGTCGTCTCTATGCAATGTCGCATCCAGGCACAGGTCGGAGATGGCATGATGCTGCTGTAAGTCCCTGCATCGCGCCCTTGCTCTGACAAGCTTGCGAAACTGCCAGCGAGACATGCTTGGGACAGGCTTTTGATGCCACTGCATTGCACGGGTTGGCACAGTTCTGGCTCTGCGCTCCTACGGCCCGAAAGCGAAACAGCTCGGGCCCCTGGAGCCTGCGAGAACAGACCACTTCATATCCGAGCTGACCAACACCCCCCTCGTCGAGAGGTGAGTGTTGCAACCAGCTAGCGACGCCATCAGTCACCGAGATCTTTGCGACAGGCGACAGTGCGCAACGTCACTCTGCAGGAATGCTCGTCCGGATGCCTTTTGGAACCTCAGTTTGCGTGCAGGAATCACGACGCCTCTGGGGCTGGTATCCCATCAGCTGGCGATGTATGTCTATCCACACGTCAAAGGCAAGGATCACGTGGCGACGGAACTGTTCACGTGTGGTCAAAGAATACTCGCTGAGAGCTCTACCCAGAGCTTCGCGCATGCGATCACTTGCAGCATCGCAGTCGAGGAGAAGCTTGTCATGCTCCGTCTTGTGAGATCCGAGAGTGCAGAGAGTGGCGAGAGTGCGTGAAGGCTCGAAGCACACATCGTGTAACCACTGCGCTCTAATTACGTTTGTTGAAGTTTGTTCGCAGCACGACACGGCCGTGTCGGACCACGTGCAACCTTGTGACAGGAGCTGGAGCAGACAGGCTCGGTTTGGGAGGCAAGAGCCATACCGCGCTATCAGCGCTTTGAAACCTGTCGTTCTCTGGGAGGGTAGAGTCGATCGAGGCAGGACTGACTTCTTAGCATTTCTCGGCACATCTCACGACAAACTCGGCCACACTTGTCGTAGTCTGTGCCCCAATGTATTCCAGCACCCAGCAAGTAACAGAATACACCGCGCCTTGAAAGGACTGCCCCTGAGTTGTAGGCAGAGCCCGCGCAGAGGGCGTTTCAAAATCTCTCACCACTCTCTTCTGCAGCTCCTGGCTTCTTGGAGCCCTGGCATAAAGTCCAAGGCTGATGGGCAAGCCTTAGCCTGGAGAGGGCATAGTGCCCTGTCCGTACAAGTCTTTGAGAGGTTTCGGGGTTAGGACGGTTAGGAGCGCGCTTCCGCTTCAGGCCAGTTTCCCTATAGTTTCCGGTTGCCGTCACAGGCATGTGCCGGTGAACGGAATTCAGCAAAAAAGGAACTCGCCCCAGCTTCGCTGCAAGATCTTGCCAAAGATGGGGTGACAGAGGGCTTTAGAATCCGAAGTTTCGTGCCAACGCGTGGGCTCTGCTCAGCACGGTTCTGCGCACGCGGCGCATGCACACATGGTGTCCATGCACCGGACAGTCCGGCCGCAGGATTGCTTGTTCAGTTGTGGCTGCCATGGAGATGTCGGAGACATGGGAGTCTCCAGCGACCCCTTCGAAAGACTGCGGCAATCAACCCATACCGGCCCCGCACCACGCCCTACCCACTGCGCCGCCGCGTCCCAGCACATGTGGCCCCTCTTGTGGCATGCCATGGGCGGGGCGGGCGCTTTAGTGCTTCAGGGGGATTAGCGAGTTATCGTTCTGTTCGTGAAGGCTCTTGCAAGTCTCGGGCCTTTCCGTTGCAACCGCTTTTCAGGAAACTGGCAGGAAATGCCAGGACGCCTCCGCGAATGTTCGCCAGGTTGCAGAAGCGGCTGGCGCGGTGCAAGCTTTGTGGTTGTTTTCTAAGCAAAAAGGGTTTAGAGCCGCCTAAAAGTTCCCGGCTCTGCAGACTTCCTTGGCAGTCCGGTAGCCCCCCACGTGCTTTTCTTGGACACGTTCCCAGCTGACAGCCCGCAGGCGTATGCAGGAGTTACTACAGCCCCTACTCCAGCCCCTCTTGGGAACCCAGACGGTTCGACCCGGGCCGAGCATTTGCCCTCAGGCCTAGCATGGCAGAGCATGACCTAGTGGCGGCGTGAGTGCGCGAAGGCTCGAAACACACATCGTTTGACCGCTGCGCTCTAACTATGTTGGTTGAAGTTTGTTCGCAGCACGACATAGCCGCATCGGACCACGTGCAAGATTGTGTGACAAGAGCTGGAGCGGACAGGCTCGATTTGGGAGGCAAGAGCCGTACCAGCGCTATCAGCGCTTTGAACCTGTCGTTCCGCGGTAGAGTCGATCGAGGGCAGGACTGACTTCTAGCATTTCTCGGCACATCTCACAACAAACTCGGCCACACTTGTCGTAGTCTGTGCCGCACTGTGCCCCAGTGTATTCCACAGGTAGCAGAACAAGCCGCTCTCTCTTCTGCATTCTGCAGCTCTTGGCTTCTTGGAGTTTTGGCATAAAGTCCAAGGCTGCTAGGCAAGCCTTGGCCTGGAGAGGGCATAGAAGGCTCCCTGCTACCCAACCGTTGTGCCCTGTCCGTACAAGTCTTTGAGAGGTTTCGGGGTTAGGACGGTTAGGAGTGCCCTTCCACTTAAGGCCAGTTTCCCTATAGTCACCGGTTGCCGTCACAGGCATGTGCCGGTGAACGGAATTCAGCAAAAAAGGAACTCGCCCCAGCTTCGCTGCAAGATCTTGCCAAAGATGGGGTGACAGAGGGCTTTAGAATCCGAAGTTTCGTGCCAACGCGTGGGCTCTGCCCAGCACGGTTCTGCGCACGCGGCGCATGCACACATGGTGTCCATGCACCGGACAGTCCGGCCGCAGGATTGCTTGTTCAGTTGTGGCTGCCATGGAGATGTCGGAGACATGGGAGTCTCCAGCGACCCCTTCGAAAGACTGCGGCAATCAACCCATACCGGCCCCGCACCACGCCCTACCCACTGCGCCGCCGCGTCCCAGCACATGTGGCCCCTCTTGTGGCATGCCATGGGCGGGGCGGGCGCTTTAGTGCTTCAGGGGGATTAGCGAGTTATCGTTCTGTTCGTGAAGGCTCTTGCAAGTCTCGGGCCTTTCCGTTGCAACCGCTTTTCAGGAAACTGGCAGGAAATGCCAGGACGCCTCCGCGAATGTTCGCCAGGTTACAGAAGCGGCTGGCGCGGTGCAAGCTTTGTGGTTGTTTTCTAAGCTTCTAAGGAAAGGTGAGCTTAGAGCCTCCTATGCCTAATCGTATCTCTAGGAGCGCCGAGAGAGGATTGTGATGTTGGAGGCTTTGCGAGAATGGACCCCAGCAGGAGAGCCAGTCAGGTGGCCTACGTGTCCTCTGAATTCTGTTTTCGTTCAGCTAGAAGAGCAACATCTACAGCATCCTGTGCTCCGCAAACGCCGCGTTTATCTTGCTGCCTCGTTCCTGGCTTCCGCGGGTACTCAAACCGTTCAATTGGCATCAGCACGTTGGATCAGATCGGCGTGTGCTTGCGGATCGGGTCAGGCGCAAGCTGGAGAGTGCGCGGCCGGCGCTGTCGCCGGCGTGTGCGACGGTGCGACTGCATGTGAGAAAGGTACCATATAGGAATAGAAGTTCTTCCAAGGAGTTGCCTTGCGACTCCCTTCAGAGTCCTCATCTCATCTTCGATTCAAAGCTGGACATTCTCAAAGCTCTGGAATGCGGAACAGGATATTCACGTTAAGGATGTCCTGCTTGTCATCAGACCGTCGAAGAATAGAAAGGGCGTTTCCGAAGTGTCATTAAGCAAGAACCTCAACAGGACCTTGCGGCATTCGGAGAATCTTGCTGAAACCGATAGGCTTGGATTCTACTCAGGACAGGTAGACGAGTGTGGGGTTCGCGCGCCACTAGGCTGCCCCGGACTCAACCAGCGATCGCCTGCCAAAGTGCATGGAAAGAGTTGCGAATGTGTATCGTGTGCGTCATCGCCGGCTTGGAGCCCTTGTGAGCTACTTGCTCGACGCAGCTCCTCACCTCTCTTAGCCTCCTTGCAGACAAGTTTGCGCATGGCGGCGCGGGTCTGCCAGGCTCAAAACCAGCCTCCGTAGCACATGCAGTTCAACCATTGATATCAGACGATGCAGGGAATAGGCAGTAGCGGCTATTATTTACAAGTCGCCCCTTTCTGCTTAGGTCATTAAGATTAGGACTGGCACATGCGCTTTGTGTGTGCACTGGGAGGCTGTTGAAGTTTGGGTTTCAAGGCAATTTCAAGGCCTTCCCGAGCTGATGCCCCAAACGCAGGACAGAAGATCAGCTCATTTCTTTGCTTACTTCCATATGCGCTATGCGCAGCTCTCTGCCATGCCAGCCACCGAGTCGCTTTGCAAGTTGGAGACGGCAGCCTCCTCAGAGAAAACGTTGTTGAGGAATGAGCTTTGCTTTGGGATGTTTCTAAGCTTTGTTCATTGTTTTTTTTGTAGAAGGGTCTCTCGTTCATGTTTAGCTACAGTCAGCAGGAAGGAGTGGAGGAAGGAAGAGCAAGACAAAAAGGAAGAGGACGGACGGAAAAGGATGCAAGCAAAAGAACCTAAGGAAAGGAAGGAAGGAAAAGCAAGGAAGGAAAAGTAAGGAAGGAAAAGTAAGGAACATGAAGGCAAAAGAAGGAAGGAAAAGGAAGGCAGGAAAAGTAAGGAAGGAAGGAAGAGGAAGAAGGGAAGGTGAAGGGGAAGGGAAGGATGGAATAACGGAAGGAGGGAATAAGGGAAAGAGGGAATAAGGGAAGGATGGAATGAGGGAAGGGAAGGGAAAAAGGTAGGGAATACAGGAAGGGAATAGGGGCCCCTGTCCTCCCCATTCCCTGCCCTTACCCTGCCCTGCTTCCCTGCCTTCATTCCCTTCCCTTATTCCCTTCTTTTCTCCTTGCCCTTATTCACTTCCCCTGTTCCCTGCCCTTGTTCCCTTACCGAATTCCCTTCCCTTACTCCCTTCCCTTCTTCCCTTCACTTTTATCGTTTCATATTCCCTTCCCTCATTCTTCCATTCCCGTTTTCTATTCCCTCCGCTTCTTCTCTTCTTCTTCTTCTACTCCCTCCCTGAGAAGGGAAGGGAATAAGGCAAGGGAATGAGGGAAGGGAATAAGAGAAGAGAGTAAGGGAAGGGGACAAGGAAGGGAACAAGGGGAAGGAACATGGGGAAGGAAAATGGGGGGAAAGAACATGGGCAGGAGAATGGGGAAGGGAAGGGAAGGGAAGACAAGGTAAGGAACGGGAAGGGAAGGCAAGGGAAGGGAAAAGGCGGAAGGGAAGAGAATAAGGTAACGGAAAAGAAGGGAGTAGGGGAAGGGAAGGGAAGGGCAGGGCAGGACAGGGAAGGGAACAAGCAAGGAAAGAACCAAGCAAGGAAGACGTATTTATTAGCAAACAGAAGGAAAGGAAGGAACCCTATTTTTCTGCGTTTTGGCCACACCAAGCTCGGTGTGGGGTAAGTAGGTTTTAGGCCAACCATGCAGATCCCAGAGAGAAAAATGATGGACGCATAGCTTACGTTTCCATATGTTTCTTAATGCCTTTGTGTTATGCTGTAAGGCTTTTTTGAGCCCCATTGTCGGCGTTCAAATTCCAAACAAAGCCGATGTAATTGTGAGGCCATGAAGCCGGAGCCCTTGAACCTTACTTTGGTTTACGTGTTTTTTTTTTTGGTTTTGCTTGCACTCTGCGTCGTGTTTCTGGGTGATAGTTTGGCTTTGCTTTCCTTTCCTTTGTGTTTGCCCTTTTTTGGTGCCGCGTGTGTTTTGCCATTTCTTTTGCGATTGCCTCGTTTGTTTGTGTGGCCGAGGATCAGCAAAAGAATAGTGCCTCATGGAAACGCTGGAGGGTCGAGTTTGCAATTTGCCCAGGAGGAAGACACAAAGCCTAAAACGCAAGTACGAAAAACACACCAACATCGTTCCGAGTGTTAATTCTGCGCCCGTCCTCAGAACTGGTCTTCGCGCTTTGCGGTCTTTAGGTTGTGAGGCTTTGGTTCTGAGTCTGCGTGAGTACAGGGAAGCCGTTTCTTTCAGAGTGGTTGATGTGAGTTGTTCAAGTGTGGGCCTGGTGGGTTGCGTGCTCTAAGGTATCCAAAAGCATCGCCTCCTGCATTGAGTGCCCTATCTGCGCCTCAGCAAGCAGAATGTAAGCATGTCGCCATTGAGCGCATCGGATGTGCGTCTGTGCTGAACTGGCCTGTCGTGCTTCATTCAGTTTCCAAAGACTCCTGCAAGTGATGCTTTGTCATTGCCGTGTTTCTGTATGAATGGTTTGCTCATGCGTGGTACCGGCCACAGCAGGCATGGAGATCATGACAGAGGCTGCCAGTGGCTACTGCGACTTGCCGTTGTCGGGCACAAGTAGTCAGGGCTGGGCAAATTCTGCTCCAAACGCAATGCCTTTAAACCTTACAGGGTTAGAACATGCGGGTACCTCTCAAATGTCGGGTCTCCAGAAAAATGTCTACTGGTCAAGCACACGTGCACGCGCCCCCGCGCACACTCGCTCGCGCTCGCACAAGCGCACGCCCACGCGCTCGCGCTCACGCATTCGCGGACGCTCTGGCAGACGTTCGCACGTGCGCGCACGCGCGTGCGTACGAACAGCACACACACGCACATGCACGCCCGTCCGACCCACCTGCCCGCCCGCCCGCCTTTGCGTTTGTTTGTGCTTGAGATCAGAAGCGCTTCTTTGAATAAGGTGGGCACTGCTTCTGCATTGGTTGCTTTGGCTGCTCCTTGAGCTCTTCTTTCAGCTGCCCAACCTGTCGTGAGCATCCTGGCATGTCCTGGCCCAATGTTGTAGTCCCCGAAGACCCAGCGAGTGTTGCCATGTGAGTGTTCAGTCCCTTCTGGCCGTATCATGAGTCTCCTCTGCACCCCTTTCGGCGTAATGAAAATAGACAACCTTATGCTTGAACCCACCATACCTTCTGCAACATGCCCACGTGCAAAGAGTGTGAAAGTTAGCCTAAGGACTTAAGAGGTTGACTGGAAGACAGCAGACCTTGTTGCCGAGGCCGGTGGTCGACCTGGTTCGGCAGACACCTGGCCCTAACAAGAATATTTGGTTTGTGCAACGCATGGCCATGCTGGCGCGAGCCTGTGCTCAGTCAAGGTTTACCGTGGAGCAGATCGCAGCACACATCCCACTTCTGAAGGAGTCATGTGCTCGGTCTTTGTCGGCGTAGCTGAACATAGCTTGCCACACGAACACAGCTGAACGAGAAACATCTGGACTCGCCTCTCCATCTGTTCATGTGGTGATCATTCTTAAGTCGGCTTGGTCACGCTTGTCGGTGGCACCCCTTCTTAACCCCGACCACGACTAGCCCAACACGATGGAGCACCGCCAGGAGTCTCAACAGTACCCAAGAATTGTAGTCTCGCCTTGCCAGACCAAAAGAGGAACCTGCTCTAGTCGTGGATGTTTCTGCACAATTGCGGGGCAGCCGAGCGGGGGTTCTTTTGCTGCGCATTGGTTGCGGGTTTGAGGCCGTCAGTGCCTATGCTTGATGTCGCGCGGCTTCGCACGAGCCCTCTAACCAAGACAGGTTTTCCTCCACTGCACGTACGCTCGGAGTAGCGGGTCTTCTGAATCTTGTTTTTTGGCAGCGTTTCGATGTTCAGGTGTAACCTGTAGCCTGTAGCGCAAGTAGGACTTCCGAGTGCTCTCAAACCTTGCACCTAACCGATATGATTGTTTCAGAGTCTTGTCGGCGACCTAATGAGTGATGTTGTTGGGCAAAGTTACTGTGTTTGCAAGATTGGGTTCTGTGTAGTTAACTCGCGATCTCTTACACAGCTTGTTTGCAGGATGCGGCGCTGCAAGTTGGTGTGGCCTCAGCACAGAAGGAGCTTGAGCTCGACTCAACCAGGCAGGTGAAGTTTAGCATAGTTCAGTATACGAGTATAGTATTGCGGCCAGTCTGCGGGCCCAAAGTGCTTGCCTTTGGCCTTTGGCTCAGCGCAGGCGTGGCCTGTCCGAGATGGAGGTGTACAAAGAGAAGGCAGCTTAGACGGTCGTTAGATAACATGCTAAACCATAGCACGACATCCGGAATGCTAAGCAGCCACACCGCGCAGCATCGATTTGCCTTGTGGCTCAGGCGTTGCGCCTGGAATCCGAGCTCCACGAAGCAAGCCTCCGTCACTGGCAGCTGAGTCAGGTCCAATTAGGTACAATTAGGTCCGATTAGGTCCGATTAGGTCCAATCAGGTCCAAGCTAATTTCGGATGGAACAAAAATTGGGGTTAAAAGATGTTGAAAGGGCGCCCTGCGATTAGTGCTTCACAGCGCTTCAGCGGCAAATGCGGGAGCTTTTTCTTCGAAAGTTTCTCTCAAGGCTTCGCCCAGCTGCGGGAGCAATGTGAGGCTGTGGCCGCGCTGCAGAAGCGAACCGAGGAGCATCGCAGGCTATTCATGTTGTGTTTTGCTTTTTGCTTTTCGCTTCTTCAGTTGGACGTCTGTGCTTGTCGCAGTTTCATGATGCTTTCTAGGGCCCAAGCGTGAACGGACGAAGTCACACAGTCCTGAAAAGCTTTTGACGTGTGATCCAGTCTCTCGAAATCCCTTGAAGGAGGAGGTGAAGGAGTTGCAGAAGCAGCGCCGTGGAGCAATTACTAAGTTAGTACTAATCAAGTGGAAATGACGTGGCGACAGATGCCACTTAGCTCGTTGCTTGTTTTCCTGTGCCGATCCAGTGTCTGATCAAGGGTTGAAGACCTTTTTCTGTCGAGAGTATCTGCAGTTTGCATTCCGCTCCGCAGAGAAGGAATCTCCAACTGCATGATGAGTTGCGGCACTTGCGCGAGGAGTCTGGCAAGTCTGAGGCTGGGGGACAAGACATCGAAATGCAACAGTTTGATGGAAAGCCTGCACGGCACCTACATTTACTTACGGCCTAACCGGCCATGGCGGCAGGGATCTGCAGTTGTCGAAACGTGCAGGAGGCTCTGCACAGAGCGAAGCTGCTGGAGAATGCTGTCGTCAACATGATGGCATCTCAGCCAAGCGAAGGTTGGAATGAGACATGCGGCCACTGCGGCCAGGGCCAGGGCAGTTCCACGACTTTGGCCTGTGCGGGATGTGCTTCTTGTATGTGCTTTCGTCTACCTGGTAAGGAGCAGTTGCACAGCATGCTGAAGGTAGTGGTCGGTCCTGGCTGGCAGGACCGGGTGAGAAGCAAGTTCACATTCTCCACGCACCGTGATGCTTCAAGGTCTAAGGCTAAGGCATTGCGAGCCTTCCATGCAGAAGTATGCCTGCAGAGTCACAGCGAAGACACTCCAGCGCCTCAGATTCGGCAGGAGCTTTGCGAGCCAATGTCACAAGATGAGGCGTGGCAGAAGCTGGGCCTCTCAGCTTCAACCAGCCTTACCAAGTGCCACGGGCATTCAGTCCACAGTTGGTTTTCATTTTTTCAAGCTCCCGCTTCAATTTTTTCCAACTCAAGAATTGCAGAATCTGTCAAAAAGTTCTGGCTCATGGCACCCTCAAGGCACCACATCCGCTCTCAGCATTGACAAAGTGTTCCACTCTCGGGTTTGCAGTTTGCCGCTGTTTGCTCATCTCACTGCAAGCCATCCGCGTCCTGCGGGTTCAACGGGGAAAACTCTGGCAGCCAGCTTGCCGCAGCCGCAGCAAAGCTAAAAAAGCAGCGCTATCCTTAGCTGCTCTTTTGCCTGAAGCGGAATGCATGTGTGTTGATGTCATTTGATGTTGAGGCTTGCCAGCTTCAACCCCGACCTGCTCGATCGAGTTCGTCGAGTTCGGAATGGTCCGCGAATACCTGCATGTGGGCGAGGAGTGCATGGGTGTTGTGGCTGCACCTTCTGCCGGGGTGAAGAGGTGGATGGGAGCTGCTTTGTTAAGTGCTGCTGAGGTTTGAGTGCCTGCAACTTGCACGGGCGAATTCATTGCAGTTACTCAAGGCATCCAAACACATAGGAGAGGGAATCGACTGCGAAGCCTTGCTTAGGTAATATGTCGCTTGGAATTTCGCAAGACATGCGTTTCAAATTGGAGTACTACGGCTCCAATCAGCATGTCTTCAACGAAATCGAGATTGAAGGTGGGATTGTGCCTACAACATTGTTGCAAAATTGTTGTGGCTGTGGGGGCCCAGGTGTTCTCGCTCAATGCTGCATTCATGTTGGCATGAATTGTCGGCGTGTTTTTCATGCGACAATCATGCTAGGCCGAGTGCGGCTAGAAGGCCGCCAGCTCACGTTCCTGGGAGTGCGCTCAGCTTCCGTCCGGCGGTACGATGGTGAGGGTGCCTTGCTCACAACGAGCTTGCAACAACAAAACTGATGGGAGCTGCCATGTGCAGAATCTCAGGCTTGAGAAAGAACATGTAAGACAATGTAAAGAACAGAGTATTGGGAGCAAAGTGTTTGCCAGGTTGCCACCGCGTTTGTTACTTGCGTTCCATGTACTCAAAGAACCTTCTGCCCCATCGAGGTCTCGATGCCCTCTCTGATGAGCGTGTGGCGCTGCCGCCCTTGCAAGGCTGTTATCATTGGAGTAGCTTTCCTTTGCTTGTGCTGTATCAGTTGCTGAAGCTGTGAAAGCAGAAGGTGTGCTGTGCAGTCGTGGCGATAGCACCTGGTGCCCTGGCAAAGAAGAGGGCTGTTTCAAAAAACTTCGCAAAAGCAAAGTGCCACCTGATTCAGTATTTCTCCCGTTACTAGATTCGTTGCCCTCTTGTTTCTTCCTCAGCAGACCCGAGCCCTTTTAGAGGGACGTGAAGCTGTTCCTGCGTTGCTCTTCCGTGCACCCATTTCCCTGTTCTGGTTGTTGTGCTTCCACGAGGATTGTGCTCCTCGAATTCAGCGCCTGTGCTCAGATCAGCACCGCGTCTTGAAAGCCATACATGCATGAAGCACGTCACCAATTTGCCGATTGCTGCATCTATGTACCGACGGTCACGCGCAGAAGATTTTCTTGCTGTGAATGCTGGTTGATGGGCAGTGTACTTGTTCTTGCTGCTTGTGAGAATGCTTCGGGCAGTGACTGCACAATTCATTCTTGCCTGATCTGGTGAACCAACATCAATAAACCGTGCTCGAAAGAATAAGGTATATTCAATGCAACAGCAGCTTGGGCTTGACTGGGGGGTGTTCTCATGACCTGGACATGATCGGAACAATGGTGACCGGGTTTTTTGAAGCTTGTCGTTCACATCCATGATCACCCAGGTTCTTGCAAATGCCCCGCTGTCAGTCAACGTTGGTACCATGTTTGCAATGAGGACATCATACTGCTCAAGGATCCAGTGGAGCACTTCACCGGGTACCAAAGACTGGCCTGGTAAAAGAAGCTTATTGCATGCCCAGTTCCAGCACAGTTTTCTGATTGCAATTGCATCGCTCAGCTGTCCATCAAGGTTCCACGCATCACTGCCATATTCTAGAACAAACCGGGCAGATTGCATCAGAAGGGGCCTTGTGATGATCAACCCTTTCCTAGGGGCATGAGGCTGCGTTGTGCGTAACGAAGGCTATCAACATCGTCCATGTAGGTATCACCCAAACTGGCCGACGATTCGTTCTTACTACGGCCATACTGGAAGATCCACCCTAATTCCCCCCACGCCAATCAGATTATGAATAAAATAAGGACGATAACGAGGACTACGTTCGACTTTACCGAATTCATTTTACGAACCACAAGATATGTTGATAAGAATTATTTGATTTATGATATTAAAAATAT